GGCTGGCTTCCCGCCTTTGTCAATGACTTTGAGGTTGAGGATGATGCGGCTGCGCTTGGGCTCGCGGGGTTTCACCTTACGGTTGATGATGCGGACGGTCTCCGAGAAGGGCGAGACGGGAGGACGGATGCCAGCCCCGCCACCCACGCTCCCGCCGTTTTGGGGGTCTGGACGGGGCAGGGGGCGCCGGGACATGCGGTGGCATCGCCGGATGTCTTTCTTGAGCCGGTGCACCGCGGCGCTGGAGTGGAGCTTGGGAGAGGAGGTGCTGGAACCAGGCTTGACAGAAAAGTGTACATCCCCAATGTGGAGGGCCTCCGCTTGGGCCCGAGCCTGCGGTGGTGGGGAGAGAGAAAAAAAACAGGGTCAGAGACGCAGCCTTGATGCAGCCAAATCTCAAATCGCGCATTGCTCACCTCAGGACAAGAATGCCATGTCACATGTATACCCACATTAATGACAAGCACAAATACACATCCATGGACTATTACGAGCCACGGCACAGCCCCCCATACAAGCATGGGACACTTCTACATCCTTTTTGGGCAGCTAATTACTCCCTAGGCAGCACCCCTGTTGACACATGCTTTCCCCAGGAGGAAACTGCCACCCCCCAGCCATGTTTCAGGGTTACAGTTAATGGTTTCCAAGGCCCCCCTCAGTCATCACCAGCCAACGTGCACAACCCTCCACTGTCAGCCAACCAACCAAGTGTCCTCCCAGGCATTGGGGCTGTTAGTGTTGAGTTAGCATCCAAAATTACATACTAGTCCCAAGACAGGGGACTTATCAGGTCCTCTACGAAATGAGCACAAGACAAGAAGGAGAGGAAGAGTAATGCATCCAGTTTGCTCTTCCCCTCCCACAACCAGACTCATCTGCTCTGGAAAGCATGGTAGAAGGGGGTCTTGAGGAACACAGATGGAAGCGGGTGAGGGTGGTCTGACAGAGCTGTCTTAGCTAAACACAAGAAACACAGAGATCTGAAGTTTAATTTTAACTAGAGACCACAAGCAAGTTGCATATCCTTACTCTGCTGTGGGAGCAAGGTCCAGTGTTTAAAGCCAGAGACCAGGCCAGCTGGAGAAGAGATTGCCCTGTCCTTTGGAACACTACACTTTGAAACCTACTAATGAAACAGAGCAGGAACAGCACTGGTTCAACTCCTCAATGTCAGCTCTCCCTGAAAGCCAGGGCAGGGGAACAAGACTTTTAAGCTCTTCTGTTGCTTGGAGATAATGCCAAAACCTGCCCCGGTTCACGCACCAGACAGGAACATTTTCTGGCAGCAGGAACAACAGTTTCGTTGGTAAGTTGACCTGAAGACCCTGTGGGCATGGAAACCTGGAGCGTATTCTTACATCACCCCTTGTCAGAGCACAATTGCTTGTAGAGCTCAGCATCCCACCTGCACCCTGCTCCTTGCCCAAACAAACGCCCTTCCTTACTCCCTCTCAGCAGTGGTCATAGGCACAAGTCACCCATGCCTGGAGGGAGTCAGGCGAGCCCCCCTCTGATTGCCCATCTAGTGAGCAGCTTCCCCCATCTCGTGGGCACAAGAAGAACTGCAGTGCTAGAAGAAGACAGCTGCTTTTCCTCCCCAACTTTTCCATCCCATTGCCCCCTAACACATGCCAAGATCGGGATGGCTTCTTGCCAACTAAGAGCTTAAGCACTCCAACACCATCTCCTTTGTCACCCTGCAGGCTGTGCCTCCTACCAGAGAAACGCCTGGGGAAAAAAATGTGCGTGTAAAGGCAGGGATCTAACAGATCTAAGCGAGGGGCCCAGGCCAGTTCTTGCACAATAAGCTTAAAGGCCTGGCCCTACATCCCCAGAACTCTGCTGTCACCCAGTGCCCCTCTTCTCCCACTGAGATCCCCACGGGAACCGCTGAAGATCCTGAATGAGCAGAGAACAGAGACACGAAGACATTTTGTTCCTCCCTGGCTAATGCTGGATCATGCCCTGCAATACTACTTGTATCCTGGCTTTAAAAGGACTGCAAAGATGAGGCCTCCTTCCTTGACTGTATGTGAAAATGCAGACTGAAGGCTCATCTGCACCAGGTTCTCTAGACTTTGTATTAGCCGACTGACACAGAAACAGGGACGAGTAACATGACTGCCAAGACAGGCACAGACACTCTCCATGTTAACCCTGGGCTATACAGGGCTGTTTCATCTAGCTAGAGGGAAGCATCCTCAGCCCAGACAAACCCCAACACGTCCCACTGTAGCAGGAAACATCCCAGTGACCAGCTAGTTTCTCTTTGCTCAGCCTCACGCGTTACTCCACGCCCCAAACTGTTCAGAAAATGAGTAGTTATACACAGTTCCTGTCCCAGGCATCCTACAGGCTGGAGCACAGCAGCAGCACCAGACAAACTCCCTGTACCACGCGTCAACTCTCCCCCTCCCATCCCAATGATCCACAACTTATAAACCCCACAGATCCCGTCAGGAGGTCACATGCACAGACAGATGCACATCTAGGGCTGTGCTTGCTCCCCGTCTTTACAGGTCCCTCTGAAGCAGATGGCAGACACCAGGACAAGCTAGTTTGCTTTCTGACATTACATACCAGCACAGCCTGGATTAACAATTTTATTATTCCTTCCTCTCCCTTCCCCACCATAGCCAGCCCTCCCAGCATTGCTGCTCTTGTGCTTTGGGCTTCTCACCGATTTACCACTGCTCAGCAGAGAGCAAAGTGCAACACAATGTCCCATTCCAAAATGCAAGACAGGGAAGCCAGGCAGAGGATACAGACAGATGTGCCGGTAAAAATCCTTGAGCTATAGCTTCAGCGGATACACACAGACATCCTCAGGGCATCCCCTGCTGCCAACACCGCGTGCCTTCTAGATTAATTCCCTACCCTGTAATCACACCTTGGAGTGAGGAGTTCTGCCCCCTCTCTGCTCGGAGTCGAGTCTAATTGCCGCTTGCCCACAGCGTTGCCTTCTATCACCCATGTGAGAAAGAAACAGGCCTCCCCCACATCTTCCCCGAGTCTGGGGGAAGCAGTCACAAACACCCACAGCTGCTTTATACACCCCAAAATTCCTCAAAGCTTCCCATCAACCACATTAAATGAAAAGCGATAATGATGGGATGGTCTTTTTTTTGAACTTACTTTCTCAGCCTGTGCACGTTAATCAGCTCTTGTCCTGTTTTGACAGAGACACCTGTTCTGGTTTTGTGCTCACACAGTGGCTAGCACAGAGCCCTGGTCCATGGCTAGGACTTTTCCAGTGTGCCAGAACCACTAGGTCTCCTTTACTTGGTATGTGTCTGCGTTTACAGTTACTTCCTGGGGCACTTCCTCAAGGCTGAACTTGTTTCTAACTCATGTTTCAGTTCTCTGCATTTATTAAATTCCAGTTTCAGTAGTCTCCAGGTAGACTACATGCACCATCAGCCTCTTTGGCCAGATTATTAAGAGTGAGGGTAAGCTGGGACCCAACAGTCCCCTCCAGGTGCTACACTGCTGTCCCCAATGACCAGCTTCAACGCAAGCTCCAAAGAGCAATATGCAAATATTCAGCTTACCTTGAGCTTGTTTTTCCAGGTAAGGTTTCAAGAAAAATAGTATCAGAAGCTTTATCTAAGACCAGCCCCCAAAGCCCTCTCACTTGCAAAGCTCAGTATTCCTACCACAGGATCAGGTTTATTCAAGCATCAACTATATGAGCTCAAGTCTCTTCCCTGCAGAGGACAGCACATTTTTTGTGCTCTCCTTCTCCTGCTTCCAACTTTACATTAAGTAACTTGTTACCTCTGGTTTGGAGAAGACCCAGCATTCAGTTTTATCTGCTGGAAATGCACTTCTCCCTGCTATGGATTCATTACTCTATCACTCACGAGCTGTATGAACATGAGGTCTTTGAAAAACAAACCTGTTGAATCCTTTTGGCTGCGTCACCACTTGTTACTTAACTGAGAAGTTTTCCAAACGGAAACTACCTCTTTGGGTTTTGCAGTTTTCACCTGCAGGATTTGCTCACTGCTGAAGAGGTGTTCAGCACAGCAAAGTAATTCACTCACTGCTTACAGCTCAGCCTACATCAGGATGCAGCTTCTGGAGGCTTGCTGCAGTGCTCTGTCACGAGAGCAAGGCAATTGCTAGGATTGCTTCCCTTCCCTTCCCTTCCCCCTCTTCCCTTTTGGGATATGTATCACCTTTATTTAGCTCGTACAGCTCTCCCTCATTGCCCCTGGGAACTAGTATACCTCCCCTGTTCCCTACTATTTCTGAATAAACGTCCCTTGAGGCCCAGCAAGCATATTTGTTCATTCATTCCCTTAACGCACTGAGGCACATAAGCACGTACTCGGACACGTGCTTAGAAATGCCTCTCTTACCTGATTTGTATCAAAACCTCAGCAATTTGGAAGAAAAAAAAAAAGAAGACCTTGTAAGGCAACGGATTTCTAGTTAATTATTTCAAAATCAAGTCATTTCCAGTAGTGCTGCTTGCACCATAGTAGCGCTACTCTCTCATAAATTACTGGTTCTGCTTTGTCTTTTATTCTCCACCTGCATTCCCACAGTCCTGCTCCAAACAGCATTCGCAAGAGCTCTTCTTTCCCCTTTTTGGCTGCCATTCTGCCTTTTTATCGCCCTCTTTCTTCTGCAGTCTTCCAAGTGACAAGGCAACAGCAAGCCAGTTCATAGCACAGTTCTCCCAAGCAACACTGCCATAAACTAAAGTTTCCCTACTGGATGGGGAACAAAATGCTACAAAGGGGAACGGTCTGTTTTCAAACCGCTCGGGGATAATTTACGAACAGGGAGGAGATCAAAAGAAACCCAACTCCAACTTTAGAGTTCAAGGAAGGGCGAAGTGACAGAACACCATGCTGCTCGGCCCCTTCTTCACCCCCTCTCCCACTAAGGCTCTCCCTTACTCTGCTCTCAGTTACTTCTTCCTCCCCATTAACCTTCTCCAGTCTTTTCACCTTAGTATTTACAGCCACCCTGACTAGGGCTCTTTGCTAGCCACCCACTGAGCTTGCAGACCGGGCTCTGTCTCTTAATAGCACTTGCTAGACTTTATTAGATTAGTTGGCGAGTTTTGCATTCCACGCAGTGGAGTGCCGAGGGAAAAGCAAAATAAAAAGAGCAAACCGAGCAGGGGAAAAGAGGAAGATCGCTATAGCATGCGTTATGTCTCTTTCTAACCTCGCACCAGCTTCCATTCTGACCTGCAGCTGAACAGCCTTGTCCTCAAGGATGACTTCTGCCAGACACCTAAGCAGTAAGGCAAGAGCCTTATGTACAGTGCTGCCCATTTCAGACCAAGGACTCCGCTTCCCATACACTCAGCA